TGAAGAAAAACATGGCATCAGGATTGGAGGAAGAATCATTAACTACCTGAGATATGCAGATGATACAACTTTGCTTGCTGAAAGTGAGGATGACTTGAGGCACTTACTGATGGAGATTGAAGAATAGTCTGCAGTATGGATTATGTCTCAATATAAAGAAAACAAAAATGCTCACAACTGGACCAATGAGAAGCATCACAATAAATGGAGAGAAGATTGATGTTGTCAAAGAATTCACGTTGCTTGGTTCTACAATCAATACCAATGGAAGCAACAGTCAGGACTTTATATGATGTGTAGCATTGGGAAAGTCAACTGCGAAGGAAGTGTTTCAAGTGCTGAGGAGCAAGGATGTCTCCTTGAGGACTAATGTGCACCTGACACAAGCCATGATATTTCCAACTGCTTCGTATGCATGTGAGAGCTGGACAATGAATAAGGAAGACCGAAAAAGAGTTGATGCTTTTGAGTTGTGGTGCTGGCGAAGAATGCTGAAAGTATCATGGACTGCTAAAAGAACTAACAGATCTGTCCTGGAGGAAGTACACCCAAAATGCTCCTTGGAAGTGAGAATGGCTCAACTCTTGTTGAGTCTCTGGGAGTTTCTATGTAAAGGATCATATCATCTGCAAATACAGTTTTACTTCTTCTTTGGATGCCTTTTATTTCCCTTTCTTGCCTTATTGCTCTGACGAGGACTCCAATACAATATTGAATAGAGTGGTAAGAAAGGACATCCTTGTCTGGTTCCCATTTGCAAAAGGAATGCTTTCAGTCTCTCTTAATTGAGAATAATGCTAGCAATTGGCTTTGTGTATTTGCCCTTCATTAGGTTGAGGAATTTCCTTTCAATAGGAGAGTTTTTATCAAGAAAGGGTGTCAAATTTTGCCAAATGTTTTTCTACATCAATTTATATGATCATGTGGTTCTTTTCCTTTGTTTTATTATGTGGTACATTAGACTGACTGTTTCTCTAGTGTTGAACTGTCCTTATTTACCATATAAGAATCTACGATAACAGAATTGGGTGTCCTAGACATGGGACATCCACTGGTGGAGGAGTTCTTTCAACTAGACCTGAGTGACTCACTACAGGAACTTACAGGTGTGAGATCTAGGCCAGACACTGCACCCTCAGGTGACCTGGCTCATCATCATATGTTGTCAGGTAGGATTTTAAGTTTTATGGTGGCAGGACACAGCATAAGACTCTTGGAGGGATGAAAGGTGGATTCTCTGTCATTTACAACTTCAAATGAGAGAGACCCCTGGCAAAGCTGGGCAGGGGGCTGGAAGTGGATGAGACAGCACCAACCTGAACTGTAGGAAGTGGCTTATGTATAGCTGAGGGTTATCTGGGGTTTCTGGCATCCTGGAGATTGAGCATTTTGAATAGTTCTGCAGAACACAGGTGCTATTCCTAGGTTTTGGGTACCTAGCTGGGCAACTAGGGCAGGTGCAGAGTGGCCCAAGAGTGTGAGAATCCCATAAGGGGTGAGGTGAAGTGAACTTAATCAATTGTTCAACAACTGCAACCAGACTCCAACTAGAGTCCCATACTGAGTCAAGACAGAGTTTTAAGAAAAAAAAAATTGTATTACATGACTCCCAGACACTGGAGGGCTACAGGATCATACACTCAGGCCCACCCTTTCCATGATATAGTCACTGGGACAGTGATGACTGCTCAGTGCACTCTCACACACACTGTGTTGAGCCCTTACGTCAAGGTCATAACTGAAGTCTATTTATTATCTGTGAAGCACCAGTTCCAGACAGAGATGGTGTCACAAGGAACTCAGAACTCCTGGAAGAGACAAGATGTCACTTGGTACATTTAGTATTCACAGCAGGGTGGGACTGCAGCTAGCAGTGGCTCAGTGAGGGACAGTGCTCCTAGAAGAGGTGGATGGGATACTAGGGGAGGCCACTTTCAGCTGGGCAGTACTGAGTGGGATGGTCTATGCAGAGATGGAGAATAGATGTGGCCAGTTAGGGGAAGGTGCCCATAGGTGGTGCTTCTTTCTGTTAGAGTTTGGGGGTGTAGAAGAAGGGAACAGCTAAGGAAGACCTGGATATAGAAAGACTTGGGGGAAGTTTTAGGAGTCAAGGGCCCAAGAGAAGCCAACTCCACCAGGCTGTTTCCATCTGCAGTTCTGCTCTGTAGACCACTTGTCCTGATGCTGAATAGGAGGGGCACTGGCAACAAGTCCAAGCAAACCAGCCACTCTGCAAAGGTGCATCCCTGATGACTGCAGACACCAGGCTCATCTCAGCTCTGGCATCCATGAGCTGGGGATGGGTGGGGAGGATGGCTCATGCTCTCAGATCACCTTTGGCATAAGGTGACAAGCTTGCCCAGGGCACACTGCACTTCTGTATTCCGCAGTGTGTAAATGAGCGGGTTCAGGGTGGGGCTTAGCATTGTATACAGCACTCCAGCCACTTTGCTCCTCTCAGGGCTATAGCTAGAGGCTGGGCTGATGTAGGCACAGAACACAGCTGTGTAGTACACAGAGACAACAATGAGGTGGGAGGAGCAGGTGGTGAAAGCTCGGCGCTTGCCCTCCCGAGAGCGGATGCGCAGGATGCTGGCCACAATGCAGCCATAGGAGGCCAGAGTGAGTAGGAAGTTGGCAAAGCCATAGAAGCTGTCGGCCAGAACAGTCATAATGCTGTTCACTTTTGTGGGGCTGCAGGAGAGCAGCAGAAGTGGGGGGATCTCGCAGAAGAAGTGCGTGATGACATTGGGGCCACAGAAGGTCAACTGTGCCATCAAACCAGTGTGGACAGAGGCATTCAAGGCACAGATACTCCACACACCCCCAGCCAATGCTGCACACACCCATGGGCTCATGATGGTGCCATAGTGCAGTGGGTGACAGATGGCTACGTAACGGTCTAAAGCCATGACCAAGAGCAGGAGCAGCTCAGAGGATGTGGACCAGAGGATAAAGAAGAGCTGGGCCATGCAGCCTGCATAGGAGATGGTATTTTCCTGTGCAATCAGGCCCTCCAACACCTTGGGCAGGATCGTGGAGGTGCAGATAATGTCCATGGTGGCCAGGTTGAACAGGAAGAAGTACATGGGGCTGTGGAGGCCAGAGCTGCAGCCCACAATGGTGATGATCAAAACGTTGCCGCTGAGAGCCACGGCATAGAGTGCCAGGAAGCAGCCCAGCAGTGGCAGCCGCAGCACGGGGTGCTCTGAGAAACCCTGCAGCACGAACTCCATCACCAGCGTCTGGTTGGACTCCCTGGTTCTGGCAGCCTCCATGGCACACAAAGGCTTGCCTTCGCTGTGGAAAACCTGCAGGTCTCAACAAGGGGTTACAGGACACTCATTTCAAATCATGCATTTGAACCAGAAAGGGAAGGGGTGAATTTATTTTCTCAACAACAGTCCATTCATCTCCTTAATCTCCACTCTCCCTGCTTTTGAAACTACATGTCATAGCCTGCCTTTTTTTTTTTTTTTTTTCATTTTCCACAGTAAGAAACTTTAGTTCTCTAAGTTTATGTCCTGGTACCTGCTAGCCCACTCCCCATCACTAACACACACACACACACACACACACACACACACACTGGCAAGCCCAGTGGAAGCCTCTCACACAGTCCTGCTGCTCCACTGCCACCTGCAGGTCAGAAAGTACACATATTAATGTTGGGTTAGGTTGTTTTTGACAAGTAGTGACTCTATGTACAACAGAATGAAACGCCGTCCTGTCCATGGCCTGTCTAACAATTGTTAACATGCTTGAGCCCTTTGTTGCAGTTACTGTGTAAATCCATCTCATTGAGGGTCTTCCTCTTTTCCGCTGACTCCACTTTACCAAGCATGATATCCTTCTCCAGGGACTGGAACCTTCTGACATGACCAAACTATGAAATACAAAGTCTGGTCATTCTTGCTTCTCAGGAGCACTCTCAGGTGTCCTTCCTCTAAGACAGATTTGTTCATTCTTCTAATAGTCTGTGGTATGTTCAATATTCTTTACCAACACCACGATCCAAATACATCAATTCTTCTGTGATCTTCCTTATTCATTATTCGGCTCTGACATATATACAAGGCTATTGAAAACACCATGGCTTGGGTCAAGCCATCTTAGTCTTCAAGGTGATATCTTTGCTCTTAAAAGCTTTAAAGAGTTCTTTTCCAGCAGATTTATCCAATGCAATGCATCATTTGATTTCTTGATTACTGCTTCCATGGGTGTGGATTGTGGATTCAAGTAAAATGAAACCCTTGACAACTTCAGTCTTTTCTCTAATTATCATGATGGTGCTGATTGCTCCAGTTGTGAGGACTTTTATTTTCATTATGTTGAGATGTAATCCATATTGAAGAGTAGTCTTTGATCTTCATCAGTAAGTGCTTCAAGTCTTCTTCACTTTCAGCAAGCAAGGTTGTGTCATCTGCATAAAGCAAATCGTTAGTAAGTCGCATACCAATCCTGATGCTGCATTCTACTTCATGTAGTCCAGTTTCTGTGATTATTTACTCAGCACACAGATTGAGTTGTTGTGGTGAACCTCGATACACACCCGTCCTGATTTTAAACTATGCAGTAGCCCCTTGTTCTGTTCAAACGACTGCCTCTTGGTCTAAGTACAGGTTCCTCATGAGTACAATTAAGTGTTCTAGAGTTCCTATTCTTCTTAGTATTATCTATAATTTATTATGATTCACACAGTTGAATGCTTTGCATGATCTTTAAAACATAGGTAAAAATCTTCCTGGTGTTCTTTTCTTCCAGCCAAGATCCATCTGACATCAGCAATGATATCCCTCATTCTACATGAATCCAGCTTGAATTTCTGGCAGTTCCCTGTCCATGTCCTGCTGCAACCATTTTTAAAATTATCTTCAGCAAAATTTTACTCGTGTATGACACAATGATATGGCTTCACAATTTCTGTATTCTGTCGTGTCCCTTTTCTTTGGAATCACAAATAAAGATTTCCTCCAGTCGGTTGACCAGGTAGCAGTCCTCCTAATGTCATGGCATAAACAAAAGAGCACCTCCAGCACTGTGTCTGTTTGCTGATACATCTCTACTGGTATTCCATCAATTTTTGGAGTCTTGTTTTTTTCACCAGTTCCTTTAGTGCAGCTTGGACTTCTTCCCTCAATAACACTGCATCTTGATCATATCTTCTCTCCTAAAATGGCTGAATGTTGACCAACTCTTTTTGGTACAGTGACTCTGTATATTCCTTCCTTCCATTTTATTTTAATGTTTCCTACATCATTCAATATTTTGCCTTTGGAATCCTTTAGTATTGCAACTTGAGGCTTGAATTTTTTCTTCAGTTCTTTCAGCTTGAGAAATGCTGAGTGTGTTCTTCCCCTCTGATTTTCCATCTCCAGGTCTTTGCGAATTTCATTATAACACCTTACTTTGTCCTCTCAGGCTGCCCTTTGAAATCTTCTGTTCAGATCTTTCACTTCATCATTTCTTCCATTCACTTTAGGTCTCTGTTGAAGAGCAAGTCAGAGTCTTTTCTGAGGTCCATTTTGTTTAATTCTTTCTTCCCTGTCTTTATAATGACTTCTGCTTTCTTCATATGTGATGCTGTTTATGTCCTCCTATGACTTGTCTGGTCTTTAGTCACTGGTGTTCAATGCATCAACTCTGTTCTTCAGATGGTCTCTAATTCAAGGTTCTATATACTCAAGATCATATTTCAGCTTTCATGGACTTGTTTTAGTTTTCTTCAGCTTCACCTTCAACTTGCTTATGAGCAATTGATGGTCTCATACACAATTGGCCCTGGCCTTGCTCTGGCTTATGATATTAAGCTTCTCTGTCACCTCTTTACACAGATGTAGTCTATTTGATTCCTGTGTATTCCATCTGCTGAGGCCCCTGTGTATAGTCTCCATTTATGTTGTTGAAAAAAGGTATTTGCAGTGAATAAGTTGTTGGTCTTGCAAAGTTCTGTCATGCAATCTCTGGCATCATTTTTATCACCAAGGCCACATTTTCCAACTATCAGTGCTACTTCTTTGTTTCCAACTTTCACACTCCAATAACCAGTAGTTGTCAATACATCTTGATTGCATGTTAGGTCAATTTCCGACTGCAGAAGTTGATAAAAGTCTTCAATTTTTCATCTTTGGCTTTAGTGGTTGGTGCATAAATTTGAATAATAGTTGTATTAATTGATCTTCTTTTAGCCAGATAGCTATTACCCTATCATGACAACATTGTACTTCAGGATAGATCTTGAAATGTTCTTGATGATGAATGCATTTCCATTCCTCTTTAATTTGTAATTGCTGGCATAATAGACCATATAATTGTCTGATTCAAAATGACCAGTACTAGTCCATTTCAGCTCACCAATGCCTAGGATGTCAATCTTTATGCACTCCATTTAATTTTCGACAACTTCCACATTTCCTAAATTCATACTCCATCATTCCACGTTCCAATTATTATTGGATGTTTCCTGCTCTTTCTTGTCATTTTGATTCATGCCACATCAGCACATAAAGGTTCAGAAAGCCTTGCTCCATCCATGTCATAAAGGTCAGCTGCACTGTGAGGAGGCAGTTCTTCTCCAGTTATATTTTAAGTGTCTTCCAACCTGAACAGCTCATCTTCCAGCACTATATTAGACAATGTTTCCTTGCTATTTATAAGATTTTCTGTGGCCAATTTTTCTTTTTTTCCCATAGTGGATCTGGCTATGTCCTTCTTCCTAGTCTGTGTTAGTCTGGAAGGTCTGCTGAAACATATCCAACATGAGTGGTCTTGCTGGTATTTGAAATACCATTGGCATATCTTCTAGCATCACAGTGACACACAAGCCACCACAGTACAACAAACTGATGAATGGTGGAAAAGGACCTATGCATAAATAAAAAAATACTTAATGTAGACTAACCTCACAATTTTGGAATTAGCAGATTGTTGTTGTTGTTGTTATGTGCCATCGAGTCATCTCTGACTCATAGTGACATTTTGTACAATAGAACAAAACACTGCCCAGTCCTGTGCCAGTCTCACAATCCCTACTATACCTCAGCCCATCGCTGCACCCACTGTGTTAACCCATCTTGTTGAGGGTCTTCCCCTCTTTTGTTGACTCTCCACTTTACCAAGCATGACATCCTTCTCCAGAGAATGATCCCTTCTTACAACATGACCAAAGTAGGTGAGACTGAGTCTGGCCATTTTCACTCCCAAGGAGCATTCTGGGTGCACTTCCTCCAGGACAGATTTGTTAGTCCTTTTAGCAGTCCACTGTACTTTTAGCATTCTTCACCAACACCACAACTCAAAAGCATTGACTCTTCTTTGATTTTCCTTATTCATTGTCCAGCTCTCACATGCATATGAGGCGATTGAAAATACCATGGCTTGGGTCAGGCACATCTTAGTCTTCAAAGAGATATCTTTGCTCTTCAGCACTTGAAAGAGGTCTTTTGCAAGATTTGCCCAATGTAATGTGTCTTTTGATGTCTTGACTGCTGCTTCCATTGGCATTAATTGCAGAACCAAGTAATATAAAGTCTTGGACAACTTCAATCTTTTCTTCATCTATCAAGATGCTGCTTATTGGTCCAATTGTGAGGATTTTTGTTCTCTTTATATTGAGGTGTAATCCATACTGCAGACTGTAGTCTTTAATCTTCATCAGTAAGTGCTCCAAGTCATTCTCACTTTCAGCAGGGAAAGTTGTGTCATCTGTGTATCTCAGGTTGTTAATGAGCCTTCCCCCAACCCAGATGCCACATTCTTCTTCAAATAGTCCAGCTTCTCAGATTATTTGCTCAGCATGCAAATTGAATAAGTATGGTGAAAGGATACAACCCTGATGCACTTCCTTCCTGATTTTAAACCATGCTATATCCCCTTGTTCTGTTTGAACTACAGCCTCCTGGTCTATGTACAGGTTCCTCATGAGTGCAATTAAGTATTCTGGAATTCCCATTCTTCTCAATGTTATCCACAATTTGTTATGAGCCACACAATCAAATGCCTTTGCATAGTCAATAAAACACAAGTAAACATCTTTCTAGTATTCTTTGCTTTGAGCCAGGATCCATCTGATATCAGCTATGATATCCCTCACTCCAATCCAATCCTCTACTGAATCAATCTTGCATTTCTGGAAGTTCTCTTTCAATATACAGACTGCTGCAACCATTTTTGCCAATTATCTTCATAAATTTTACTTGTGGGGCATATCAATATTGTTTGACAATTTTCACATTCTGTGGGATCACCTTTCTTTGGAATATGGATCCACAAATATGGA